CCGTAATTGGCCCATGATTTGTGCGCCGTCTCTTGGGAGGCAGCTGGCCCTGCGAATGCGCAAGAATACCCAAGGGGCACCAGTGCCCCAGCCACCCACCATTGACAACTTTCCCGCACTGGCAGCGGGGCGCCATCGCTATCCCGCACAGTTGGGCCATGGCTTGGGATCGGATTGAGCGCAGTGGTGGCGGTTTTTCTCTGAGCGAGCACACTGCGAGTTCCGAGTTGTCTCAAACTGGTGAACGCATCATCGAGGACACCAGTACGTTTACGACTGCTTCAAGTGGCAAGATGGCTTCCGTCCCTGGACAGGACCGAACCCCAAGGCCAAGGCGCCTTACATGACTCCATATGCAGAAGAATGGTTACTTCAGAGGGATTTCGATATCCAAAACAACACTACGGAACAGTATCCTCATCCCCTCCGTGGCCGCCATGTTCCTTCTCACCAGCATGGTGCGTGAAACCGATCAACGCGAAGGCGGTGGCACAGGGAGGCAGCATCCAGCGTGCCGCCATCATGCTTAAAGTCGGCGGCGCTGCCCGCTAGCTTACCCGTCCTATGAACGTTTCGGAAATTACAGGATTAAGACGCCGTCACTCACCTCATCGTCGACCGCGCGACCCAGTTCAGACCATTCGGTGCATTATCATGCCTGGAAGCTTCCATGGAAGCCTTCTAGTTCTCCAGGCGACGCAACGAGGCCACCGACGCGTTGGTGTCGCGTTATTTTCAATGTGATTCCGAGCAACGCAAAACGGTGGAGTCGTCATGCCATGGGAAGACGACAGTTGGCCATTGCAAGCAAAATCACGACGCCGCTCCGGCCCCTGGTAACCGATAGCCAGCAATAGAGCCGTAGTCCAGCAGTCCTGGGACAATGTTTCGGGCTTCTCGGGCACAGTGTGAAGCACGCGCCCACTGATATCGCCAGTGCCCTCCGTGCACCGCCGTCTTTCCGGGGCTTCGTAAGCATGGCCGACCACGACAGTCGCGACGCCAGCGCAGCAGACTCTTGGCACTCGCAAAGGCTCGACCATTGGGCTGCTGGCGCGACCGAACTCCCGAGTGCTGGATGTGGCTACCCGTGCGCCGGCGGCGCTCAGCCGAGCGCCGCGCCGCCGCGGGCCTCGCATCCCGCCGCCGCGAGGCCGCGCGCTGAAGACGCGCCCGTCTACCTTGGGCGTGCCAGTGGGGCCCAGTCTGCGGCGGCGGAAGAGATCTGGTGACCGCGAAAACAACGCTTGAGCCGCCGGAGAGAGGCCGGGCATCCATGGCGCCGCCGAGCGGGCCAGAGTCGGCGCGGCCCCGGAGGCTCGGCGGGGCGCTTCCTTGGGCACCTGAGCTCCCGAGCCGGCGCGCCCGCTTTCAGCTCAGTGGAAGTGGTCGCGCCATCGTCGTTGCGTCGCACCCTCGCGCGCCTATGTTGCGGCCCGCGCCTCGGCCGCCTGAGCGCTTCCCCTTGCCCTTGCGTTTGCCCGGCCCCCCGGGGGGGTGCAGTCGACGCGGTCCTCAGTCAGCTCGGCGAGGAGCTGCGCGTTAGAGCGCCCAGGCCTTGTCCTTTGCCGCCCTTAGCGAACGACGCTCGTTCTGATCTATGGACCTTCTGACTTCCCTGGCGGGTTCGTTCGCGCGGCGTCGCCTCTGACGCTCGCGGAGTTTCGTCGGCCAGAAATTCTGGGCGACGATCTGATATCGGGGTTCGCCTCTGATTTGATCGGCTGCGTAGACGGCAACTTCTCCGAGGTCAGAACAGGCGTCTGATTTGGGCCGGCATCTCGCAGGCGCAGCCCGCCACTGAGGGCTCCTGGCAGGGCCCGAGCCCGTCTGCGACCCCTGGTCTGCCGCACCTATGACCGCAGCCCGACACCAGACGTGCAGTCTAGCCTACTCCTCAGAAATCAACCATTGCCGCGCCTACGCCAGGTCTCCGACTGCAAGCTGTGCCGCCGATGCCTGGCACTTGAACCGCAGTTTCGGAACCGGCAGCATTCGTCGGCCGGCTCCGGCGCGCTCAGGAGTTCACGCAGCTCCCCGGACATAAGCTGCGCGTGGCGCCCGCGAGTTTAGTAGAGGGATCAGCTTTCCAGAGAGGGGGGCCCCATGTGCCCGAAAGGTCAACTCGCGGCCCCCGACGACCACCGACGTGCCACATCTCCGCGGACGTGGCCAGATAGCTAGGCCCAGGAAGGGCCAGCGCGAGAAAGCCGCCGCGCCAGTCGGATTGCATCGCCGCGGCGACGCAGCCATCAGATCTTCGGCCTTCGCGATTTAGCTCGACCACGTCGCGTCTTACTCCCTCGGCGACAGGCGAGACGCGGCGCGGCGCTCAGACGAGGCGACGCTGCGCCCGCCGCCGTGGGCTGCATTGGCAGATGATCAACCGCGTCGCGACTGGGCCGCCTCGCATCTCCACCGTCTGCCCGATAGTCAACGAGCCGAGTCGGCAGGTGCGGGCACGCAAGTTGATGTGGAGGGGCCACGCGTGGCATCTGCACGGCCGAACACATGTTCCTGAGATGTTCGTGTCATTCTCCAGCGCGGACATCGGTTTCATCGGTGCTGCGCCGTCTCCAGGGC